CTGCTGAATTTAACTTCAGGCTCTTAGTGCAGAAACCAGTTAATCTTTTACTTATGTTTTATTTTACCTACTAGTGTGTGGTTATTAATCTGGAACCCCCAAATTCTTCCAAAAGATATTTTTAATTTTAAGATCATAATATTTTGTGATGCACATGAAAAATAAAAAACCCCACCCAACTGACTTCATGAAATAAAATGAATCATCAAGGAATTAATAAGAGGAAAAGAATATCTTCCTGTTCAACTTCCACGTGCAGTACTGGCAGAATTGCGAAATCGAAGTAGCGTGTTCTGGTGGCAGTTAATATTACAAAATATAGGGTGTAAATATTTTCTGTTTCAGTTTTACAAATAGTAGAAAGTACTTCATTTTTGCACTTGTTGTTCTGGAAGCTATTGATCTGGGAAAATCTGACTGGAATTGTTGGATGTGGCTGCTGTATCTCTATACCAGTGACGGATGTTTTCTTGCATATGGATAAAATTACTAGCTACTAATCAGTTATTTGGGCAGCTTTTTACAGGGAGCATTTTGGGTCAGGGTGAATTTTGTGTAGTTGCAAAAAAGGCTTGCTAGTTTTGTACTATAATTTTTAATGTTTTGGGGGCCAAATAACCTGGCTTCATGATGTGCAATATAGGCTAGTGATTTTTTTTTTTCCACATATCCCTGCAGTGGACCAGCCTACTGGGTTTGACCAAAGCATGTCCCCTGAAAAGGCCCTCACTTGTGATCTGTCACTTGTTCAGTCACTCTGCCATGCCTTGTTTACAGGGAAGTTTTGCCTGTCTATAACTTCACAGTCAGTGTGATCACAGAGTATACAAAAAGCTAGTATGATATAGGAATCTATCATTTTCTGAAATATATTGCTTCGTAAACTAATGGCAATTCAGTGAAGTTTGTTTTCATGAAGGCTACAATGCGTTTCAATTAAGCAATTCACTGCACTATTTGACTTAAAATACAATATTCAGAATATGCAAACTTGTACAGCAGTAGTCTTTTCTACCTCTGATCTGAGAATATTTATTTAAAAATAGTAAGCTTTTAACTGAATCACTTATCATGAACACTTCTACTTTAGTGCAGAAAAAGCAAATAATAGAAAATAACATTTAATGATAGTATTTTAACACCGTCAAGCTTAAACTGTCAGAGACAACACAAATTCAAGAGTTTATAAAAACTCAGAAGGACTAGGTTTTATTGATTTGGCAGTGGACCAATGTTCTTGCTTTTAAAATACTGTCAGCTCTAACAACTATGGCACGCATTTTAGAGTGAGTACGTACAATGTGCCGCTTGCACAGTGTCAGCGTTACCAGTGCAATTGCTACTGCTTTCTGAAACATGCTGTGCTGGAAACAGTGCTTCTTCTCTCACCCATCTCCATGATAAGACTGTTGTCTCTTTCAGTCTGGTTATTTGGGTTTACAACACAGACTGGAACTCGAAAAAGGTTGATCAGCTTAAGAAGCCTGATTGTTACAACTGCTCATGTGCCTAAAGATATATCTGGAATACTTGTGTTAGTAACTTCACTGAATACTCTGCAATCTGTTGCATCATGTGGATGAGGAGTCTTGAGAAGTTTCTAGGTGCCAACACAGTGACCTGTGACTTGTGGACTAGGAGTTGGTTCTAACTGAAAGACTAACTTGCTGTCATGTAAGCATTTAGGACGTCAGTGGTAAATTTGTGTCAGGAAGAGTGAAGACGAGGGCAAAATGAAACTCCATTTTTACTTTTGTTTGCAAGTTTAAAGAAATCATTTTCTGCTGCAAATTCAGTAAAAGCCCGTTGGCACTCGACCTATTGTTGAGATTAGCTCAAAGAAGCGAAAGCTACTGTTTGACTAAAAGAAATCTGCAAAGCATGAATGAGAAGGGATTATCAAGTTCCCCAAATAGGATCGTGCAATTGATTATTTGTATCTTTAAGGAACTTTGTTAGTGTTTAAAAGCAGACAACACATTTATCCAAGCTTTGATAAATTTCCTTTAAATAGGTGAAGGTGAAGCAGCAGATGGACTTCTGCTTTATACTGTGATAATTCTGAAAGACGATACCTCTTCCTTTGTATACATAAAAAAAAGTCAGTCTGGTTAGCCAGGAAGTAACTTGCTCAAGAACAAAGGCTGTACAACCTTGCCTATGCAGACCTAATAATGGGCCAAATAAGATTAGGCCCACTACTTATAGAAATAATTCCTTAAATTTTATGGCTGTGAGGCTTAAGGTAAATATATTTAGTTTGTAAAATTTGTAGCTGACAGATATCATATCTTAAGGAATCCATAACACAAAGCATTTCAAAGCTGGAGAATAACATTAACTCTTTTAACATTGTCACATGTACTTTGAATACACATCCCCTCTTCTGTAGTTACCCATTATTGCACTGCTCTACAAATCTCTAGATTTGTCTTCCATGCCTACTGGACTGCTCCGTGAAGAAGGGTAGGTGTGACACTGCTTTCCAATGGGAAGTCCAAACCAGAATATCATAATTTAAGATCTAGAGTAGGTCACTGGGGAGAACGGACGCTGCAAACCTGGTGGTGTTTTCTTTACCCTGTGCTTGCTCAGCTGCTGTTCTAGGCTACAAGCACATATGTGACGTTGGTGCAAAAGAGAATCAGTACAAGCTGTGTCATCATGCACAGTAATAGTACTACTACTTACTCTTTCTCCACTCAGCCCAAGTAAGTCTGTTTCCTGGGTTAAAGAAAGTTTTTCTGTTAAAAATCTTATATAAACTTTTTATACTTGTATGTAAGAAAAAAAAATCACAATTGTAGGCATATCTGTAGTTTAGTCTATTGCAAAGCAGAAGAGGGAAAATGAGAAGAATAATCAAATGGACCTTCCGACAGTAATAGAATACTAGTTATGTAACTACTCATACATGTAACTTTTTCTTGTAGGTCATCTTCAGTAGGGAGTGTTCCATTTCTGCTTCTGCATAATTGCCTTAAGTTAATAGATAACTACAAATTCAATAAGCTATAGTTTATACCCAGTAGCTCCTTTTCTTAGCCAAGCTGTGTTGGCTCACAGTCTGTTTTGTTTTCCTTTATTTATCTTGGAGACTAAATATATTTGTTCTTTCATTATATAAGTTGGTAAGAATAGTGGGAGAATTTTTCACCCAGAATAATTAAAAAAAAAAAACCACCTCAACCAACCAACCAAAAAAAACCCCCAAGCAAACACATACACATACCACCACCCTTATCACCGCCAGTTGACCTGTCCCATGGACCCACCCCTTGCCCTGAGAGGGGAGGGGAAAAAAAATATCAATCAGGGAAATAGTCACACTGAAGATTTAGTTTTGGAAGGGTGTTCAAAGAGGTTTTTGGAAATAAAACAAATTTATGTTCTTAAAAACTGGAGAGAAAATAGTATAATTGCTAAATTTTAACTATAGGAAACTCGTGGAGTGATGAGGCCTGGAATTGACAACTATAATCACAAACTGCTTTTTGAATTTAAGGTCTTTTGTAAGCATGCTTCTTGTGTCTCAGGAAAATCAAGAAATATGGGTGAACTGATTCTACTGAGACAAAGTCTGTGGAAGTTGACAAGCTTTTAGAATAATACAGACTGGATACTTTTTGACCATGTAGGGCTATTCTGTCTTCTATGTTTTCAGGAGTCTTTGTTTTCGAGTCTCTGGTGAATGATTCTGATGCTGAATTTCTAAGTTTTTCATTAGAAGTGTGCCTGATGCCTTCAGTTTCAGCTGATGAGGAGAGTTTCAGCTTGAGAGTGTTTGGGCCAACCTTTGGGTGAGCAGTAGTATGCTGAGTAGATTTGGAAGACTGCACGATTCCAGCTGGCTATGCCAGAATGAGGCTGTGTCCACTTCTGTATTTTACTTAATGAACTAGGGTACTCCAGATAGCTGGTACTCAGCTTTGCACTTGGAAACCGTATTCCTGATTTTACACATGGAGTTCTTAGTCTTGAAGCATTCCCAGCACAAATGTATGCTGCTTTTATGAACAGTACAAGACAGAAAAGTCATGGCAGGCTAGTAGCTTTGGTTGACAGTTTCCTAGTGATGTGCAAGATGAAAAGTGCTTGAAATCTGCTCAGACCTTGAGGAAACTGTCACATTTGTGAAAAAGTTATGAGCTGGTGAAATATTATGTTGACATGCTAAATTCAAGTGTCAGATTTATTTCTATACTGCTGAATCTGAAAATGGGTATTTGTCTATTTGAAGCGTCAGTTGTGGAGAGGACTGGGTGACTTCTTTGAAATTGTAGAAAATCACGTGCTCAACTTGGGTGCTAAGGGCTGTGACTGGCTCATCTGATCTCATGTGCTGAAGTGCTCGGAAAATTATCTTACATCAATGTGAAGTCTCTGTAGATTGAGCTTTAAAGGAGGCAGAGCTTTGTTCAGGGTAGGTCGCCTGCTTCATGAAATGCAGCCCCTGAACCCAACAGGCTGTTCTAGCCGCTTGGGAACCAACAGCAGTTTCATCAAGTATAGCTCACTGCAAAAGGCAAACTGAAGTAAGATGAAGACAAAGCTAGGAAAGGAATCTCTTTATCCACAATTTTTCATGAAAAGGAAAAAGCACAGTTAAATACGCTGTTCTTCATGAAGACTTCTAAGAAAAATGACTGTGCTACTATTTTCTACGAAAAGATAGAGTCAGAAACAGTATCTTCATGTAACTAGTTGGGTATGTTAGAATTTCCTGGTTCTTATACTGGCTTTATTGTGTTTAAGAAGGAAAATAAGTAGCTCAAGTCAGCTGAAACCTGCATCTGGCCCCAAGGTTAAGCATGTGGAGAAATCTGTATTGAATTGTCATCTGAGAACTGAAGAGTTACTCTTTGACTATGATTTGCAATAAATTAAATTAGCCTCTAACCCACCTTGAGCTTTGGTACATGTCTGTGAACTGTCAAGTGTTCATTAGAACTGCATCCATGTCATGTTCATTATAGTACGCTTGCTCTGTGACATTTGTGGGAAGATGCCTAATTTGGAATACTAGTTCTCTAGAGTGTTTTGTGTGTGAATGTTACCAAATGAGGTACAAAGTACGAGGCTTTTTAAAATTATTTTTTCCACTTGTCATCTTCTAAATAGAGGACGTATAATTTAAATTATAACATGTTAACTATGCTTTTGTCTCAATCTGTGGTTGTTTGAATTTATATTTTAACAAGAATCCTACTCTGAACAAAGACTGACTGTTTCATAGAATCATTTAGGTTGGAGACCTTGAAGATTGTGTCCAACTGTTAACCTGACACAGCCAAGTCCACCGCTGAACCATGTCATAGGCACCAAATTCACCTTGTGTCTTGGAATGTCAAGAGAAATGTCCTCCGCAGATTTTTCACTACTCTGCTTTGGAAAACATGAACAGACCTTTGTGGATTGATGAAATATACTTCACAGCCATGCATGTATTCAACAGCATACGCACGTGTATATCTAGCGGGGGAAACGTGCCTATCGTATCCAGCAGTTCTGGCTCTAATAGATACGTAGGAATTAAATGGAAACATAGGAACTTTCTTCAGCCTTCATGCTCAGTTTTTGCTACTGGGATGGGTGCTGGTAGGTGTCTGCACTTATGCTCCGGATGGCTGAAGGTGAGAGAGCTATAGCAGGATTAGACACAGAAGCTTCTTAGAGTAACTGACTTGAACAGCATGTTTTCTTCGGTGAAATAAGAAAGGATTCTTTGGTTATGCTTCATGGGAATGATGGGAATCACTTCCGTCTTCCTGAGGTACAACTCAAAGCCCACTTCTGCTTGAGCAGAGTTCAGATTGGAAAATATTTTATGTTAGCAGTTTGACCCGGTATTTCTTCAGCATGCTTTCTGAAGCAGTATGGTGGTTGTAGTGTGCTGGCTTTCAGCTCATCTCCTGAGGGAGCCAGAAGAAACACCTGGAATCTAAGGGGATTTTGCACTGTTTTTGGTATTTGTTTGGGTTTTTTTTTGTCATGTGTATGTGTCGGGCTATAAAATTACTCTAAAAAGATAAGTTTTATTCCTTGTTGATCTGGGGGGAAATTTGCTAACTGTATTCTCAGTTAACTGTGAAGCCCATGTTTAGGAACACTGTCTTAAGGTGGGAGCACTCTGGGCGTTCTCTGTGCCGTTCTGGGAGAAGCTGACCACATCTGTGTATGGAAGTGCTATTGACAGGAACACCTCAGCCTGATGCTTGCTGCTGGGGAGGCCATATGCCGTACAAATCTCTCCCACTAATCCTATTTCCATGGCATCACTTGCTCTTGAGGTAATTGCTATTAGGATTTAGAGTGAATGCTGAGGTCCTCAAGTGGGCTGCCTTACGTGCCTCGAGGATACTGTCTCCTTTCGTATTTATGGCTGGGATAGAGGATGCTGGGGAGTAGAGTGGTAGAAGGTTCTTGAGAGTGATTTGACCTTTATTTCTACTAGCCAGAGAGTTGGTTTTTTTGGGGTGTGTGTGGTTTGTGATTTGTTTTGTGTTTTTTTTAAAAAAAACCAAATCCAGTTGTGAGTATCCTGACAAAAAACCTTTTAAGTCCATACAGGTTTTTCATACACTATTTTTGAAGAGCAAAATAAATGAAAACTGTGCACAGTTTTCACAAAACCGGGCACAGACACGCAACCCTGAAGATCACAACACAGGGTGGAGGAAAGGAAGCCCTCTTCTTGGCTGGTGAACTCTGAGGTGATACTCACCATGTAAGAGGGTCACCGTTTGTAAGGGAAATGATATCAGTTACAGCTGACAGAAGATGTAATTGGATATAATAGTCAAATCTTCATTCACAGTTAAAAATTCCAAAATTAGCACGTGATAAAACTGTCTCGTGCTGTAGATAATACATCTGGATGTAGCTGATGGTATTTGATTGATTGTTTATAGAGTTTTTGACAATGGTATATGGGAGCTAATTTCTTATCACAAAATGTATGGATAGGTCTGTAGCTTAAAACTTTGTGAAGGATTTTGTTAAACTCATCCTACCAAACAATCCAATTTCTACAGTAAAATCTCTCTCATTAAGTTTCCACTTAGTCATTTAGAAAAGCCTAAGCTGATAAAGCCACTTCCTTTGTCAGTTAGTTACTGCACTTTTCAATATATTGCTGTCAGATGAAGTTTTCAAGAGAGCAAATCCAATATGCAGTTACTCAGTAATTTGGGTCTTTATTTTGACACAAATACAACTAAATACAGCAGTGCCTGTTTTGAAATATACAGTGCATGCTAGTCAACGGTAATTTTAATCTGTATGGACGTTTCAGAAAAACAGCAGGAGCACACCCCCCCACACCTCTCCAAACACTCCACTGGAAACATCTCTTTAAATGACATAATAATTTAGGAGCGTTGTTTGCCATCTTCCATTTCTCGAAATTGTGTCAAGCCTAATGAAAAGAAGCCAGTCAGAACATAACTACACATCTACTACTTAAATTCAATTTTTTTATTGAGCTAAGGCAGCTCTCTGAGGATCACTGAGGAAATGTCTTCAAGATTCTCTTGAAAGAATGACTGAATCTGGACAGCAGTGCCTCACTTCCAAGTTGCGTTGTGGTTTTTTTATTTTATTTTTCTTTTTGCTCTGCCCTTATGTTTAGTGATTCAAGCCCTACTCTACCCAACCACGAGGAGGAACTGATGGGAAGGCCTCTTCACGTCAACAAAAATAAGAACTTGTTTTTGGTCCAAGAAGCCTCTGAATTAAATCTGAAATTCCTTCTTATTTCTGTTCCAGAAATATAATTAATATAGTGATGGTAAAAGAAACAAGAAATATAATTTATGGAACACTTAATAAAGTGAAGAGGATTAGTCTATTTAGCTCTACACTCCCCCCTTAGGCATTTTCATGAAAGGCAATTTAATTTGAGACTTTTAAATATGATTTTAAGTAAAATGTGTCATTAGTATACATTTTTGGCCTAGTAGAAATGAATATCCTGCTTTAGAAGCCTGGAGGGGAGAGCAAAAGAAATACAGGAATATACTGAAGGTAGGTTCAGCTTCCTAGACCAGTTTTCCCCTAGTCCAAAATACTGCAAGTTTGGATGCTCTGTGAGTGTAGATGGATTGGGATGCTGCCCTGAGAAAAGGAAGAAAACCCTGCTGACTGATATCTTTACTGCGCAACAGAGGTCATGGTTAGTAGCCAGTGTACTGTTCCTACTTGTACACTTTAATTGTGGTTTCAGGCTTAAACATTTTAATCAGTTTCCCTGTGTGATACTAGCTTCAATAACCACTTCTACTCTGTAATGCTATTGTAAAAGTTGATAACCAAGCCCATGAAGAAAAAAATATACATGAATGCCTACTATAGCAGCCCACATCCTGTAGCCCTAGAATGTATGAACTAGTAAAGAAGCTTATTTTCTTGAATTCTCTCTGAAACATAGCTGTTTCTTAACCACATATAGATAAGCTCCTGATTAGAATGCTTTTCAAGTCTGCTGCTCCTGCGCTTTTTTCAGAGTGATTAAATACAGAGTACTATGAAACTTCCTACTGTTTCCATATAAAACACAGTTTTATGTTAAGATGAGTCATCTAAACCCAGAAAAGAATTCTGTAAATTGAGTTATCATGTGTATCTGGGCCCCTTCTCACCAGTGTTGCCATAAATTTCTGTAAACTGTGCACTTAAATTCTTAGTCAGATCAGTAGACCAACAATTCTCCAGCACAATGAATGTGCAGATATCGAAGACCTGCATCTAAACAGGTGCTTGTAAATCCTGTGCAGAGCAGTTGTTGTGAATAGTTTGTTTCCATGCATATGCTAGCTTTTCTTTCTTTTCATTTTCAGCACTAGCCATTAACAGCACCTTTGCATTTGCACAAGAAAAGAGATTAATGGTGACAGATGAAGCTTCTTGATAGAATTATGGCTCTGTTTGTTTATTCTAGTGTATTTATCCTAGTATCAGAACCTTAATAACAATGTGTGGTTTTCAGTTTAACTCTAATGTATAGCTGTACTTCAAAACATTATTTTTGTCCTTTAATTTTTCAGCTATATACAATTTCAAAGGCACAGGAATAACTCAACTACCTCTACAGATTGGTGATGTGGTATATATCTTGGAGTCCTGTGAAGGTAAGTCAGTTGCCTTCAGCCTACAGACTTCTCTGTGTGAATGACTTAATCCTTTTACTTCACAGCAGTTCCTCATGTTACATAAGTAGCCATGTAATGCTCTATTTGTATCGGTGGTGTTCTATTTTGAGGAAGAACCTATTCATTTTTGGAGAGCCAAAATCAGAAATGTTAGAGTATGTGTGTTTTTTTTGGGAAGCCATTACCAAATGAGGAAGTCATCAAGGTGAAGTAGAGTTTGTGATGTTCATGCCAGCTTGTAATATACCTAATGGAAGTTACATTAGATTTCATTGAAGTTTTAATTGAGTACATTTTTGCCTCTAAACTAAATATTTGTTGCTAGGAGATATTCAGCATGTCAGGCATCCTATAGTATAAGATGAAAATCTAGTATGTTAAAGTAGTCTGTAGGTCAGCATGATAGAAACACTTCTGAAAGCTTTCCAAATCACTGAACATGCTAAACAGTGGAAGGTCCAAGTCAAGTCATGCATGATAGATAGTCAATATGCTGATCCAAACTTACGTAGCTTGTATGTGGAGATACCTGACCAACTGTATAAGCATAAAATAAATACAAGCACAAGAATAAACATCAAATTTCATACATTTGTGAAGCTGAATTCATTGTTGATACAGTAGTGATAGTGTATTCCTCCATACTGACTTCATCTGTACCTTCACAATCTGACTCAATTCTCTCCCAAGTCTCGAGAGTTTTTAGTAGTAAAAAGCAACAAGAGTGCAATTGTTCCTAACTCGACAGTTAGGTATCTGCAAATGTCGTCGTAATAGTAGTTTATTTTCAATCTGCAGTGATGTTCTTCACCAGGTAGCAGTTTAAAAAAAAGTTACAAAGTGCTTCAAGCTTTGCAAAATGTATTGTAAAATTATCTTCTTCAAGCTACTTTTGCTGCCTGTCAGCTGTATCTTATTAACTGTAGTTATGTTAAATAGAAAGGCCGACTGCTGTATTATGCAGTTAGAGACAGCTGTATGTGGTGGTCTTAAGGCTGCAAACAATCCAAAGCCATTTGTGCTCAGCCCATTCCACTTCATAGAGCTCTAGGTTGTTTTGCATGGAAACAACAAAATATTTGAGAAACCATACCTCCAATGTTTTGGAGTGCATGTTTTTTTCTCTATTTGTAAGGGAAATTGAACATGTCTAAGCATCAGTGAAAATACTGATATTGCTCATTAGACTATTAGTCAACAGATGCATCTCTCCAAGTCATGAGTGATGATTCTCGTCCTCTCCTAAAAAATGAAAGGTCTGCATAATTCTTTAAGCCTCCATTCGAAACATTTTGGCTAAGAAAAAATACATTGATAAACCAGAAAACTCTTTATCCGTATATTGCTCTGTTAATCGCAGAAACAATATTCCAGGTTTCTCACTCCTGTGATAGATTTGTTGTCAGTTTGTCAGCCCAGACTAGCAAATTGAGTCGAGATCTTATGAGGTTATTTTTTATCTAGAAGTTTTTTCTGAATCCTCTGCCTTTAGCATGCTTTGTTTGCTTTATGAAATAAGTTTGTCAATGAAGAAGTAGAATCTTTCATATTATGCAAGTGAGGAAGTTAAACTTTTATCAGGTGCTTAAAAATACACTGCCAGCTGCAGCTGAAGAGTAACCAAAAGTAAGTTGTTTTTTTCTGTGCTCATTTTATTTGCTGTTTTAGTTTGTTTATGCACAAAATATATGCACAGAACATACATGTGCAGTCACAGTAAATGGATGAAATAGATGGAATGTATTTATGCTTGGTTGTAAAATGGAGACTATGTGCAAATAATTCAGTTTCAGAAGTGAGTTCAAATTCTGTTGCTGAGAAGACACTGGAAAAAAAAAAAAATCCAAGTGCTGAAAAACCTGAAAAAAAATCTGTCCTGGTCTTTCTTCGAGATCAATGATTCTCCTGTGACTTTTAACATTGCCTTTCTCACAGTACTGTTTGGGATGAATTTTTTATGCTTTGGTTGCATGGCTGAAATACCTGCGCTGTGTTAGAAATGGTGAGAAAGAAGAGGTGGTAGGGAAGAGATAATACCTGTTCATGATTAGAGTCAGAAAATGTATGCTTTTAGTCATAAAATTCTCTTTGGGGTGAAACAGAAGCAGCTTTCAACAGAGTTGAATGCAGTTGCTGTGTAAGTAATGTTTCATGATGATATGTGTGCCCAGGGGACGTGGCTTCTGCTGTAATTCAGTAAGGGCGAACTCTTCCTTTAATGTTCTTCGTGAAAGTTCACTGACTTAACTGAGGCATAGATGGGACAAGCTCTGAATTAGTAGTTTAATTGCCGCTGCTGAAATACTGCACTCTTTCAGAAGAGGTTTCGCATTACGAATGGAGCAGAAGCTGCATATTAGCCCTTTGTTTTCTTGAGGTTCTAACTTGAACTTCACACTAGGAAGCTGCTTACTCGAGTTGGATCCAAAATGGCAGGAAGTTGGTTTACTTACGTTGAAGGAAGCTGGATATGTACCAACCGTGCACTGTATCGGATTAACGCTACACCTAGAACACAATCAGAATGGCTAACCAGTATCAGGAGCGATACTGGTTTGAGAGACACAGATATATCTGTGTGAGTTATGTTACATTACAAAACAGCTTATCCTACCTTTTGTATGTGAGTGTGGAGGTGTTCACTTCTGTGTAAGATTATCTGTACTTACTACACAAGACTTTAAAGTAGACCATACAATCACACTAGCTAAAGTGCAAGTTGTGCTAAATAAGCTTCCTGCTATTCACTTTACTTTCATCTATATATTTTCATAGTAACATTAATTTTGAACATCCTATGCTAGGTAGTTCTTATATAAAACAAAACCCATGACTTTATTGTACGCTTTTTCATACCTATGTTCTGTCATACTAAGTGCACTCTTTTTTCCTTTCAGATTGGTACAAAGGTTACCTAGTAAGACATAAAGGATCAGAGGTAAGATCATGCTATTAGTTCCTATGAGACTATTTTAAAGAAATCAACCCATGAAGTGGGTTTTTTAGTACCTCTTATCAGATAGTCTTATTGTTATCTCTGAAGTCAGCTACCTCCATTCTCTTTCCTTTCAAGATGAAAAAAATGATCAGTATTTGTCCTGGACAATGTTGGTAAATATTGGAAATGAGGACTGGGAGAAGCAGATCAATCAAGAAAAAATTACTGTGCCTTCAGGTTAACAGACTGATGGAGATATCATTTGAAATAACTTTTTAAGTTAATTTACTGCTAGATGTGTTTTTCTGCACTTTTTTCTATGGATTTTTTAGGTTACATTCAATCTAAACAACTCCCATTAGGCTTAAATTCTTAAATATATCTCTAATGCAAAGCCACAAATGAATAGTTTTTACCCTGGATATGATGACTCTTGAGTTAGGTAGCAAGAAAATTACTTTTTTAGATTCAAACACACTTTCCTAGAAGAAAAGCTTTTTTTTTTTTTGACACTTGCTGTTAGTATTAGAAGTTTTAGGGAGCAGCAATGAAAAAGCATTTGAAGATAGAGACTCATATTACAATAAAAATGTTTGGTGGAAGTTGCTTCTCTCTAGTCTGGAAAAACCATGTATAAAACCTTCACAGTCACTTAAAAAGCCATATCTGGAGAGATGAGGGACAGTTGTTCGCAGAGAATATGGGGTCAGAAGAGAACGAGAACAGTCTCAAGTTGTCTGTTTCTCCTTTTTCTTACTTTGTATTCAATGGTTTGTAGGTATTAGCAATAACTTGCATTAAGTTAGAGCGACTAATTTGTCTTTTTTCAAATTGTACATGATGGTAAAATATTTTAGTTTCCTTTTGGAAGTAGTAGATGCTTAGATTAGCCTTACTATTTCACTTGATTGTTCAATGGCTGCGCTTCCTAAAAGACAGAGGAATGAGTAATTATTTGTGATAATTATGCATAATCATTTTCTCCAGACATCTGTATGTTGATTCTCATGTTCTATGAGGTCCAATACAACTGCGTAGTACACCTTATTTGCTTGCTTCCATTTCTAGCTTGTCACAGACGAGGCGGAAGCCAGGCCAGGGATAAGGTAGTTCACCATAAGTTCTTGATACAGTGTAGTATTTCAGTGAAAGCTACCCAAAGTAGTTACTATCAGCTGGTCTACCTGCAATAATTGAGGTTGGATGGCTAACCATCCTCTTATCTTGTCCAGTACTGTAACTGTGTTTTAAATACTCCTTTGACATTTCTCTTGGTTCAAAAAGCTATTGCTGTTTATGCTAATTAAAATTTTTATTTTATTTCATTTTAGTCTAAAACTAAAAAAGGGAAAATATTTATCAGAACTAACCACTTCTTTTTAACTAATTCTTAATATTGCTAAAAAGTTTCATCAAGGTCAACATGCGTAACATTTTAAGAAGTATTACTAATTTCACTAAACTTACTATTAATGGGACCTTCTTTTTTACTTCGCATCTTTATGGACTCTTTTGAACATAAATATTAATGAACACTGTGCAGTGATAAGATATGACTTTATTTTGGTTAGGATCCGGTGCTAAAAGAAAATAGCTATAAAAGCTCAAATCAATTGAGAGAAAGATTTTGTAAAGTACCACGTATGGGTGTCAGTTACTGAATAGAGAAGAATCCAAGAAGAACCTAGTTTAATTACCAAGACTAGATTTGCTAGTTAATGTGAGGATTGTCATAGGTAGATTAGTGGTCAAACATTCCTTCAGCTGTTGCAGAGCAAGAATGCATCGCATTAGATAGTTTTGTCTGGTGACAGCTTTTTTTCCTACACAGGTCAAGTAATAATAAATGTAGAGAATGTCATGAAACCTGGTGCCCCCTTTGCTACATCTTGCTGGGCATCTTACTGCATGGCCCTAGGTAGTACAAAATGAGAACATAATCTCAGTTGCAGTGGTGCCACATATACCCAGTAGGGCTGAGAGTTTATGGCTTTATGAAGTGTCTCCCTTCTTTGTGAATCGCAAATGAAAGGTTGTTCTTTTTTCTTAAAGTGGTTTTAGTCTTAGGCACAGTGTTCTTGGCTCTTATGCTTCACAGTGAACGTTAAGTTTACTATCCTTCATGTCAGTGGTCGTTTTGCTGTTCATTCTGAGTGATTTCCTTTGTCTATCAATATTTCTTTCACTAGATGCAACTATCCTATAATAAGAGTCTCTCCTTTGGTTTTACAATCAAGCTGATCTCTAAATTAGACTGCATTTTTTTCCTAGAATGGGAAACTTATGGGCTGATGCACAGCGAAAATGTTTCTTTGCTGTATTTACACTGTATGTAGTGCTTTCTGGGAGAGTAGATGGGGAGATGAGGGTGGAAGATGGTGTTTCTTATGAAGAAATGTAATTCTATGTTTGCAGAAAAGGATATGACAAAACTTCTATTACTTGTCTGTCAAACAGAAATGCACTAGCTGGAAAGAAAACTAGATAGGCAGCAGGTAATTTGGAGATTAGAGTTTATATTCATAGTTTTAGAAAGCTCTTATTTGTTACTTAAAAATGTTCTTGGAGAATGAGAGTGGATTGTTTTTTATTTTTTATATTCTCCTTCAACAGGGAATATTTCCTAAGTCTTTCATCCACATCAAGGAAGTCACTGTTGAAAAGAAGAGGTATTGAATTTAACTGTTTTATTACATTAAAGATCTTGTCTGCTAAAGAATGGGGTTAAGGCATTTATATGCCTTAAACAGTAACTCTAATATAAACCCATGAAACTCAGATACTCTATTTCATTTTCATTCTGTTAAATTTTCTTCTCTTTCCTAGACATACAGAAAATACCATACCTGCTGAAATTCCTTTAGTTCAAGAAGTTACCACTACTCTCTGGGAATGGGGAAGCATCTGGAAACAGCTCTATGTGGTATGACATTTTTACATGCCATGTGTGGCCTGTTAATTTGTCCTCTTTATTCATATTGAGGCCTTGTTCAAATTAGTGTCTTTTCTTGGATGCAAGGCAGGATCTGGGAGGATTTAAGAAATGACTACTTCATCACTGCTTAGATGATTACTGTTTTCTTCAATGGCTTTAAATTAAAAGGCTGACTTACTGCTGAGTGGTTTAACTTCATGCCTTTAGTGTTCAACCTTGAGTATCCTGTATATGATAATTTTTTCACAATTGTTCTTTGTCAAGTTGACAAATTTCAAGATAGAAATATAAAATATAATGAAGGTGCATTTGAAAAATATTCATCATAAAAAAAGTTGACTTCATAAAGTGTTGACTGCTCCAGGATCCTAGCCATTGGATTTCATTTTTTCTCTGTTGGGGCAAAGAAATCCTGAATATGGTGTAGCTTTTCCTCATTAATATATTTTCTGTAACGTGTCACCACTTAGTCTTCCTTTTGTTAAAGTCAACAGTTAAAGTTTTCTTGTTTCAGTGAATGACACTGGAACTGCTTTAGTGACTTCTATGCATGCTCTCGCTTTTCTCTTAAAATGTGTTAATAATCACTAATCAATGTTGTTGTTCCCAGCATGCTCTTATTGGTATCTCATACAGAAGTAAATTACTTCTATAATGTTTTATTCTGATGAGACTTAATTAAAAAATTTTAAACCAGCACAATTAAATAAAACAAAAATAATGTAATTCCCTATCCCCGTATGAACTGCTTAAATTTCATGTCGTTTCTTTACAGTCACATGGGAGATTCTGTACTTTACAATTTGTGGGATGAGAGAAGGAAGGAAGCCAGGCTCAGTACTTTGCCTAATTCTTGCTTTTGCAATCACTGAGCATTAAATATGACACATCGTCAAGACCAACATCTCACTTCAACTTGAAGCTTGAACCTTATTGTTT